TACATGCATACACACATACGTGCATACATACATACATGCACACATACATACATACATACATACATACATACGTACATACATACATACGGATACATACATACGGATACATACATACGGATACATACATACGGACACATACATACATACATACATACATACATACATACATACATACATACATACATATATACAGATACATACATACATACATACATACATACATACATACATACATACGGATACATACATACGGATACATACATACGGATACATACATACATACATACATACATACATACATACATACATACATACATACATACATACAGAAAGCGTTGCACTATACCTACACATGTAATTAATTCTCCACCAGTCTCGCTCTCTCTCTCTCTCTCGCTATTTGCGCTGTCTCTCTCTCTCTCTCTCTCTCTTTCTCGAACTATCTGAATTGTCTGTTGTCGTTGCATAGCAGCACCCCCAGCATTCCTTATTTAGTGTCCAGCAGCGGTTTTGAAAAATGAGATTCAACAGGAGTTGAGTTTAAAGCACCTTGAATACTCGAGCGTATGCCACCAACCAGCGGCCAGTTGCGGAAAGAGAAATGAAACTTCACAAGGTCTCCGGCTGCAGTTGTCAAGCCGAGCGGGTAGTGTGTGTATAGCTTCGAAGAGCTGATGCTGCACATGGGAACTGGGATTGGGGTTTCGGGTTTCCGATTACCGGAAGCCTCCTCCACGCCTACAGGGCCTTCAGACTGATACGACTTAGATCCTGTGCTCATACTCTCAAGCACTGGCCGTGAAGACCAAAGCCTCAATTGTGACCCCGGAGGCCGAGCTCCCGAAACCGCCCCGAATCCCACAAACTCGATGGAGCCCTGACTGAGGTCCCAACGTCAAGGTGTTCAGGCCAGGGGCCCGAGACAGGGGAGGCTGTGTCGGATGTTGCACATTGAGGTGAAGTGAAGACCCGGTGCCGCCAGAGACGGCGCGCTTCATGTCGCCTTTGCAGTGAAGCCTTTCGGTCGACCTCAGGCCTGTGATCGATTCCGACCCTTTCTCCACTGAGCTCGTGTTTGCTCGCCGGGTACCGAGATTCCAGCCAACCGTTGATCGCGCGTACTTCGGCTTGTTTGGGATCTGCAGCCTTTCTGCGTACACCTATCCAAGTAGGTGACCACCAGAGGATGAGGTAAGGCCACGACATGCAAAGCATTACTGGTGCAATCTGGCGCATGCAAGCAAGGCTGTTTGCGACTGGAACGCATGCGTACTTCACTGGCAATGTTGTATATACATTATATTCAGTACATAGTATATATACTATATATACATATATACATACTATATGGATAGACAGATAGGTAGATATAGATGTTTTGCCAGCTTTGGTTGGCACCTGGCCAACAACATGCGGACATGCATTTCGCCATTCTTCACTGAGGTTCGGACTTCAAGTGGAATTGCAATGCGCGGAACAAAAGCTTTCTGTACCCAGCCGGATGCTTACGCTGAGCAGATTGTCTCCGGTTTCTGCTGGAGATGCGTGCACAGAGAATTAAGATGGAAGTGCCGAGGTTCACCCGACCCTGTCCTTCTTGCAAACGTGATGGGCCCAGTTCTTCGATCATGCGCTGCCGTCTTAGACATGCATCTCAGCCTTCCTCGATCTTCCTTCTTGGGGCTGCACAAATCCGAAACCCTGAAGAGCACGTCTAGCCGAAGCCAACGCCTAGACCAATGTTTACCTTCTCAACCCGCCGGCCGAAATCAAAGCTCCAAGTCCGAAAGGCCCCTGTCAGCAACCCGGAAGCCCTTAAGCAGAAATCCATTGCGGTGGTGTCGTCGTCTCCGTCGTCGTCGTGGTGCTCCTTCTGCTCCTCCTCTTCCTCCTCCGCCCGGTGGCCATCAACATCAGGCCCACGCAGAACTCGGCGCTGTACTTGCTGCTCATGCGATGGCTCCACCGAAACTACGGTGAAGCGCCTGGTCCCCAGAGTGGAGACAGATTTATTCCGCAGTTCAAGTCCATGGCTTCTTGGTTCGAACCTGTGGTTCTGGGACTACTACTGCTTTGGAGCTACACTCCGAAGGCTGTCATGGGACGACTCAGAAGGTGCCGAATAAGGGGCCGAAAAGCGGAAGTCCCCAGCACTTCTAAGGGCTGCCTTGGTGAACAGCGTTGCAACGGATGACCGACGGAGCCCCGGAGATGTCGAGCTTCTGTAGATTCTGGAGACACTTTGCCTGTGCATGCGCTTTTCTCCAAATGCGGTTTTTCAACGGACTGTTACAGTAAGTTCGACACTTGTTTATTCTTGGCTTTCGTTGTATAGTCTCGCAAAGTATTGTATGATTCAGGTTTCGCGCTAGGTCTTGGGATCATGCTGGAACTGTCTAGGGAGTGCAAGTGTGCAGGCTTCAATATTATACTTGAGGTTTCATAGACTTAAACCCTAAGCCCAAACCAAATTTGGAAAGTTTGTAGATTCACTTTCGGGCTTGATGTCAGCATGCGCCCAGAATGGGAGTATGTGCTGTTCGTGCGCAATTGCTACTGTTTCTGTTGCACTGTTGTTATTCCCGCTGTATCGCAGAATCCGTGCCAGAAGCACAAGATTATGCTGAAGTTGGGGGCGCCCAGGACTGGATGCGGGCGAATCACAAATCTTCAACCAACTTAGCATCATCGTCCCGCCCTTGGTTGTGTGCTAGACATGCAAGCTGCTTCTGATTGCAAGGTCCGACTGCTATCTTCAAGCTAGCATGGTCTCGCAGAGTTCGAAGCCCGACAGCCCCGGACGGACTTGGAAGACCTCACATTCAAGGGCCGTCTCAAGTTTCAGCTGCCACCAGCACAATTCCAAAAACAAGTAGACCAGAAATCAACATCTATCCTATCCAGGGCGATGCAGATCCGGACACCCACGCGATCCGGCCGTGTGCTCAGGTCAAAGTCTCATAAGCCTCAAACCGAACCCTGTGCCGAGAATCTTGTCAAGTCTAAATGTAGCAAGAGTGAAAAGGTCTTTCAACAAAGATCGTAGCCGAAGCAAGTTCTCAAAGATCCTGTGCATCTCCTCCGCAAGCAGCAGAGGCTGCAGATCACGCTGGCCATGTGCAATGCGCCCGGTCTCGAGTGGCCATGGGAAAACTGCAAGGAGGCAGGGCTTCGGAGCCCAAGGTGCAGAGTTGGGGGCTGTTCAAGAATTCAAGGAGCACGCCCTGGTTTTATCTATCCTGCTTCAAAGCTTTGATTCATGGACTCCCGTGCAGTCCGCAGTCCTGTGGACATGTGATCTCCGCAGCCCTTTTTTTTCCAGATCTGCAGGTCGAAGGCTACTTGTCCTCTGCTCGGCTTTCGGAGTGTACAGTGGCAGATACTGATTTCGGGTTCGTGTCCCAATTTTGCCATAATGACTGCAATGTCTAGCTGCCCTTGTCCGACGCCGACCGGCGCACCTCAAGGACGTGAGCCCAGTATCTCCAACAGCCAGTGCCACCAGCCCTCCAACAACCGCCAATATCGGACATCCAAACCCTGAGCCCCGCCCTCAAGCGTGCCGAGGCGAAAGCTCTCGCACGTTTCAGCACGTTGCCGGCTCTCCCTGGCCGAGGAGGTCCGCGTGCACGGTTCTCGGCACAGCAGCTTTTGCTTGAGCGGCGGGCTTCGAGATGATGGTGACGATGATCCTAATCTTGTTTGTCGACGGTATCTCTGCCTGTGCGAATCGAGGTTGAGAATCTGCTCAGACGAGCGCAAGCGGCGGGAACTCGTGCGCGCCGAAGTCAAGGCGTGGCAGACTTTGTTTCCGACCAAGAGCCTGCATCCCAAGCGTTGAGCTTTGGCACAAACATGTGATCCAGAGACACGCATACAAAGTCGCCGACACCCTGCATTCGAAGTTTCTTGATTCATGCAAGTCCCCTTCCAGGCCATGAAGCGGCAGTTCTGGGGCCGCCAAGCTGCAAGTCGCATGGGTCGGATGGTGGTTTCGACTTCAACGCTATCTAGGCCCGAGGCTTTCCAGACTCCCCCCTTTTTCAATTAGGAGAGTTTGCTTGTTACCGAGTCCCTGATCAAGTTCAGTGAGTTGGCGCATTAGACGTACTGGAGGGTCATCGACAGAAATCGACAGATGCTTTACCCGAACATTTGTGCTGGTCAGTCTTGAAGCTCGAAACTTCGGAAGCTTGCGGTGCTCTCAGCACCTCAGCTCAGGCACCTATGGCAAGGTCAAGCTCATGTGGGGGCCCTGGACACAGTAGCAAGGGGATTAGAGGTAGGGTCCATGCACCGCATTTTTCTTGGCCGACACGACCTCCACGCGCTTGAGAAACACTTCTAGCTCCTCAAAAACAACGCCCGGGAAGTTCGACACCTAAATCGATTTGGGGTTTACGACTGAGGAGGCTGCAGGAGTTCTGGATCGGGAGAGGGATATGTGGGCTCTTCGAAGAAAGCCAGTGCTAGGCAGCCATGTGCTCTCACGACCTCCATTTGAGCGAAGGGGGTTGGCTGGATCACGAGGCGTTACCACAAGATTCTGACCGATGCCGCAGCATCAGCGGAAGCAACTGCCACCGACTGAGCAAGGGCTTTGGATTGGAAAGCTCGCTCTCCAGCCTCGCTAGCACCCGATCCTACAGCCTAGCAGCGGCAATGGAACTATCATCTGCAATCTTTCTTCCTTTTGCAGTGACCAGACGCTATGCATCCGCGGACATTAGGGCCCTTGAGCGTAGTGCGAAAACAGGTGTGCAACCCTGCTGAGACTTTGAGGCCTTGGGAACCAGGCTCCGTAGGACCTTTATGGTCGGGTGAGAAACCCCTTTGATTGCATTGGTAGCGATCGCTAATTGGATCGCTCGATGTCGGGCCCTGATCCCGGCGGCCGAGACACTACGGTTGAGGACTTCCTGGCCGAGGAGCCAGGCGAACATGACGGATACGGCGATCATGAAGATGCTGAAGGTGATGAGGCGGACGATGCTCTTGATGATCCTTACATCGATCCCGACGAAGAGCTACTACCAGAACCCCATAGGGGAGGCTCTTGGTCACGAGGGCGGCATGGTTTGAGGAACGGTTCCGATGGTTCCTCGAGCCAGCAATCAGCCGGTCGGAGATTGGCTGGCATACGGCTTCCTGCCACCAAGGAGGACGGAAAAGCTCGCGCCCAGCGGAAACCGCGGGGGAACCTCCCTCCGGCTCCAACCTTCGACGGTGACAGGCGGAAGGACGCGAAGTGCTTCCGCAAGTACGCCTCGAAAGTCGACAGCTACGTGGAGATCGCAAAGAATATCATCGACGACTCGGAGATAGGTTTGCGGCTGCACGCGGCTTTGGAGGGCGAGGCATCCGACTTCCTCGAGGATATACCGGCCAAGACCTTTGGCGTCGAGGCGGGCTGGCAGGTGCTTCTTAAGCTGCTCCAGGACAAGTTCGATGAGAAAAGGATGCACAAGGTAGGATCCGCGATGAAAGGCTTCTTCAAGCTGAACCTCGGCGATCGTCAGTACACGATGATGGAGACCGCCGAGGCAATGGATAAGGCAGCTCGCCGTTGCCGGGAAGCGAACCTGACGATCCCGGACGAGATCATGATCTACTTCTTCTTCGAGCATGCTCAGCTTTCCACGGAGCGGCAGGCCAACTTGTTGCTTCGGACCTCAGGTGAGTATGACTGGAAGAAGATGAAACAGGCGGTGGAGCTCCTCTACCAGAACACGCCGGTGAGGAGCGGGCCGTCTGGCGGCCAACCTGGCTACCGGGGCAGAGCAAGGGCCACACACGAGGCACACGTTGATGTGCAGGACCTTTGGAACAAACAGCCAGACTGGAGTGCGACTGAGGAGCAGTGGGGCAATTGGTTGCAGGACTACGACCCCGTGGAGAACCTCTCCGAGCTCGACTTCGACGAGATCCCGGAGGACATTGCGCGGGAGCTCCACACCTGCTTCCAGACCCACAGGGAGAATCGCCAACGCTTGGCGAAAGCAGTGCAGGCCCGTGGCTTCTACGTCGGCAGTACTCCGAAGGGCAAAGGTCGCGGGAAGAGCGACTCCAAGGGCAAGGGCAAGACAAAAGGGAAGAAAGGCGGCGGACGCGCGAGAGGAATGTCCCTGGACGAGTTGAAGGCCAAGACCACCTGCGCAGCATGTGGCCAGCTGGGACATTGGAAGGGCGACCCTCAGTGCCGGGCGAAGTCCGCGAACGAGGCGACACGCACCGGAAACGAGGACGCCGAAGACGAGGATGGCGACTGGTATGGCGAGTACTCCACCGACCAGTGGGCCTCTTGGGAGGCCGACCGCTACGGCTTTCGCGACGACCGCACGGCTTACACGAACGCCAGGACTTCGACGGCTCCCACGGCTTCCCCGGCGGCAAGATCGACTGCGGACAGGCGGGGCGAGAACGAGCTCGAACACGAATCCCGCGCGGTGGCCCGAGGCATTAACCGCGTGAGGTCTAAGGTCGGCTCGGACGTGCACGCCCTGGAGGCCTCGCAAGTGAAGGAGGAGATCAAGAGCGACAACTTCATCCGGGTCGAGGCCATCAAGACGCAGATCAAGGAGGCCCGAGCACCGACAATGTCGCCGAGCCCGGCCCCGGAGGCCGTGAAGCGGGCTTTTGACCAGCTCGGCCTGACAATGGCGACGCCATCGGGAAGCTCAGTGCTGGAGTTGCTAGAGAAGCGCAGCCCCGCCGTCGATGTGGACGCTCTCCGCAAGGCCCTGGTTGTCTTGCGGCCCCTTCGCCACGTGCCCTGGGAGGAGGTTGTGCCCTTTCCGCGAGCGGTGTTGTCCAATATGAGGCGGCCCCCGACCGTCGAAAGCGGCCGCTACTACTTGACGCTGGACACGGCGTGCGAGAATACCGTGGCCGGCGCGACAATCTTGCAGGCGATCACCGTTGCCCTGGAGGAGAAGCACAACCTGAAGCCCGTGATCGAGGCCGAGAGTGAGACCTACTGCTTTGGGCCGGGCGAGCCGATCACCTCTGTGGAGCGTTGGTTCGTGCCGGTCGGCATCCAAGGGACTCACTCTGTGATCTGTACCTCGTCCATCCAGGATAAGGAAGGTGCAAAGATACCGTTCTTGGCGGGACAAGACTGGATGGTCTTCGTGGACGCGTGCATCGACGTGGGACGCAGTGAAGTACACCTGCGGGAGCTCAACGTCACGGCGCCCCTGTTCGTCGACTTCACGGGCCACCTTGTTGTCACCACTGACGAGATCACCGACTGGCGCCAGGGTGTCTACTCCTTTAAGACAGGATACCCTGGACGGCTCTTCGAACGTGCACCACGGCAAGTCCAGGAGTCTACTGCGCAGGCCCAGGACCAGGCCGGAGTGAAGAGCAATGCCATTGACAGCGGTGAATTCAACCCACACTTTGCACCTACACACATGTATGAGCCCAAACACTCCGCAGAGCAAGCCCAACCATGTTGTGTACCAGCTGACATGTGGGAGTACATGCTTGAGAGTCAAGTGTATGTTCGGCACCATCGCAGGCCCCGCAGTGATCTCTTCGTACCTGAGGTTTTTTCCGATGGACCCGACCCCCGGGACCTTCAAGATGTTCGTGTCACTCTCCTTTCCAACGAGACAGAGCCTATCATCGACTCGTGGAAGAGTGCAGCAAACAAGGTCCGGGAGCCGTGGGTTGGGGTCACGTACTTTTTCGGGAAGCAGGCCAGCAACCTCAGTAAGATCGATCTTCTCAGGCCCGCGGTGAAGGTTAAGGTTATTTTGGGTGGTGGAGATGTGTTACATGCTGAGCCAGATGAGTTGAGAACTTTACCGCAGAAGAAGGTGCATCACTTTGACTTGCATGCTGCACAGAAGCTCGACTATCAACATGCACACCACCTTGACATTCCACCTTTAATTCGGAGAGGCCGCTTCGAGATGCCGTTCGGTGAGTTTGGCTCTGAGCAACAACGTCTTAGGACTACTTCCCGCGCCGCATCACATGCGCCGCACAAAGGCGCCCTCGAATCGGAAGAGCAGATGCCCGGACTGGGGACGCCTGGTGGGGTCTCTACTGGAGCTCGTCCATCTGGCGATCGACCTGGAGCGCCACACAGAGGTGATGCGGCTGGCCAAGCACCGGTCTCCCTCGGTGATGGCATGCATCGTGGCGGAGATGACGGCAGAGCGCGAGCCGGCCACACTTCCGGGCACGGCGCCCCCGATGACGACGACAGCACCGGGACAGACGAAGAAGATGATCTCGGGCGGCTACATGGCGAAGCCGGAGGCGTGCAATCATCATCCGGATGTGGCCCGCCGCACGGGGAACGCCCACGGCCAGTTCATGGAGTGCCTGTCGTGCGGCCAGATGTGGAAGGCAGTGAAGTACCTCGTGCCGCACACCGGGGAGACGATTCCCATCTACACGATCCAGCACGGACATCGTGCGGTACCAGGAGGCAGGATCGTGCAGAAGCCGGTCGAGGCCGGCCCCACGGCGGGAAGCTTTCCAAGGTTGCAGGACTGCTATGCGTTGCGCTCGCCGCACTCATGGGTAACAACTTCGAAACCTACGTCCAGCCGTTCCTCGAAGGCAACTCGGAGGAGTCCCTCTACGAAACGCAAGGAGGAGGACAGCTCCGCCGCACCGTCAAGTGGCAAGACGGATGGACCGATGGAGGACGAGCCGGAGGAGGACGTGGCGTTGAGTCGGCTCCCCAAGGCGCAACGCGAGCGGCTTATGCAGCTGGCGGCGCAACGGCTGGAGGATCGTCGTCGACAACATGCACAGGAGGAGCGGGCGCTCGAGGAGACGGAAAAGCGCCGATACCAGCGGCCGGAGGTGGCAGCGGCAAAGGGCAGCAAGACGGTCTTCGAGGAGGACCAGGACAGCCTGAGCGACTTCTCGGAGGTGCAGGCGGTCACGGACTCGGAGAAGTAGACCATGATGCTCCCCTACCGCTGCGCAACGGGCAGCTACGTCGCATGCAGAACCACGCCCGAGCTGCGCTGAAGGCGGACAGGCTGCACCGCGACGCGGTTGTCGACCGCTTGGGACGGAGCCGCTGGCCGCGCAGAGCTTTTCGCTTCGATGTCGTCGAGATGCTCGGCGGCAGCTCCATGGCCTCTGTAAGAGCCGCTTTTCATTGGGGGCTCCGAGTGCTGCAGCCCATCGACCTCCGGTGTGGCATGGACTATCGGCGCCCAGCCGATCGAGAATGGCTACTACAAACCCTGGAGCGGTGCAATGCGCGGCTCGTTGTGGTGGGGTTCCCTTGCACTTCTATCACCTCGATTACCACACCACAGGGAACGCTCGGTGGTGCTCACCGGGGTGATTCATCCGAGACCGTGTTCGTAGATCTGGCGAGGCAGATATTCCAAGCCCAGCGTCGTCGAGGAGGCCACGCCATCGTTGAGAACCCGGCTCAACTCGAGAAGTTCCACCAGGACGAGCTCAAGGAGGTTCGCCGCGACAACTACGAGACAACGACCGACCTCTACTTGCGCGAGATGATCAGCCAGCCGGGTTTGCCAGAGATCAAGAAGGTGCGCTTCATCGCCACGCATCCGCTGATGGTGGACGGTTTGGCGAGGAAGTGCTGCGAGACTACCGAAGGAGGCGGAGACCGCGACTACCACGTGGTCTATCCACCTGCCCTTGGTGATGCGATTTGCCGGTCGTACTTGGACGTGGTGGCTGCCGAGGACTACGGCGCGAGCGCTTCTTGGACGCCTTCTACTACCAGGGCGGTTCACTACGTCGACGTGATCCGGCGGGAGGATGAATGGAGGCCGCTGCTGCAACAAGCACAAGAACTACTTGGCCGCAAGACGGCCAATTCGCTTCAGGTGCACCCAGAATCGGACCTCTACGGCAAGGTGGCTAAGCTCGTTCCGTGGCAGCTGGCTTCCGTACAGGTGGCTCATCTACCTAAGGCGAAACAAGTGAAGCCGGGCCTCGAGGACTGCCACCGCGCCTCGATCCTCCTGGTTAACGACGACAGCATCACCATCGAGACAGAGTTTTTGAGAGATGCGCAGGCACCACGGGAACGATTCGTCACACCGGTTCGTGTGGCAATCTTCGTTCTTGGCTATGCACCTGGAGAACCTGACGCTCCAGCGCCCGCGAGACCACCAGCCGTGCAGCCGGCGCCCGAGGACGAGGTGGTGCACGATGAGGTGTTCGAATCCCTGGCTCGAGAAGGACTCGTGCGAAACGATGCTGGAGGTGGCGAGTGCTGGTTTGTAGGTGGGTCCCTTAAGTCCAGTGAGAAGCCTCTAGCCAAAGCATTGGTCAGGATGCACCGCAACCTTGGCCACCCTCGCCAGGAGGACTTTACGCGGGCACTCTCTCAAAACCCTAAGGTGACTCCGGAGGCTGTGGCGCTTAGCAGACGACTTCGTTGTGCCACCTGCGAACGGACTCGGAAACCGTTGCCTCCGAGACCAACCTCTTTGAAAGCTACGGGCCCCTTCAACTCCCGAGTGAGCCTTGACTTTGTGTACATGCACGACGCGAACAAGGAGGGCTTCCTCTTCTTGCACATCCTGGAACCGAACGGCTCCTACAACGTGTTCTACCCGGTCGAGTCCCGAGACCCGTCACACGTATTTGACACTTTCACTACTGTGTGGGCGTCTTGGGCGGGCTACCCCGACTTGCTTGTGGTCGACCAGGATGGTGCCTTCGAGGGAGTCTTCTTCGACAAGCTAAGTGCACTGGGCTCAGTTGTGGAGCCCATCGCAGGCCAAAGCCACTGGCAGGCAGGGGCCGTCGAGGCTTATAACAGGGCCTTCCGTTTCGCAGCAGCCAGAGCCATAGACGAGCACGGCCTGAACGGATGGAGCGACATGAAGATGATGGCGGCCATGGTTGGGTCGTCTCTCAACGATAAGATCAGGACGTGCGGCTGCTCACCAAACGAATGGCTGTTCGGTAAGAATCCCAAGGTGCCCTGGGATCTCCTGAGCCCCGACGGCAAGGTCGAGACGCTACAAGGCCTCGAGCAAGATCAGGAGTTGAGGAGGAGACAGCAGGTCAGGGCCACCGCGGACGTCAAGATCGCCGAGTTCACCGTGAACGATGCTTTGCGACAGGCTGTCTTGAGGTTAGATCGGCCTTCGCGGAACACCTACGAACCAGGTGAGCTTGTGGCTTTCTGGCGAGATGCTAAGATGAAGCGGGACTCCAAGACCCGCAAGTTCAAGCGCGTGCCCGCGATGTGGTATCGCGGGACCATCATCGGACCGCACAAGGGCGACCACTCTCAGTCGAACTACTGAGTCACGTCCGGTGCGAGGTGCATACTAGTGTCAAAGGAACAGCTGAGGCCTGCCTACGGCACCGAGTTGTGGAGGATCCAAAGCGACGAGATGCAGAGGATTCTCGAAACACCGCCGGAGGAGTATGTGGACGAGCGTAACGGACCACCTCCGGAAGCCGCGCAGGAGCCCGGAGAGGTGATCCCCTTCTTTGAGCCGGATGGCGCGGTCATTGGCGCGGCGGGCATCGGCAACATCGGCGAGGCCACCGCGGAAGAGACCGCACACCACGGGAGTGAAGCAGTACAAGCCGGCGGAGACGAGTCACCACGCGAGAGGTCTCCCCGGAGGCTGGAGTCACAGGCGGCTTCGTCACGGGAAGCACCTTCAGTCGGGACCGATATGACACAACCGTCACCGACTATGAGGACGAGGCTGCCGCATCCCGAGGAGCCGGAACCAAAACGGCTCCGGATCGACGAAGAGGAAGAGGACCTCGAGACCTTCGACGCGGCGGTGCACCTCTGCTCGACCTACGTGCCCGTGACCCTGCAGGAGTTTCACGCGAAGCCGGACGAGTACTTCCAGGACGAAGTTCTAGCCGCGGCAGTGGCTGGTTCGAGGGCTACTTGCTCTACAAGGAAAGAGCAAAAGGCGTTAGAGAAGGAGATTCCCTTCTCGATGATCCCCGAGGAGCAGCGGCTGGACTACCACGACGCCCTCGTGAAGGAGTGGGGCGTTTGGACTAAGTACGAAGCCGTTGCGCCCCTCGACCTCGAGACTAGCGCCGCTGTTTTGGAGAAGTTCGACAAGTCTCGCATCCTCGACACCTGGGTGTGCTACCGGAATAAGAACGCAGCCTTTCCCTGGTTGCCGCTGAAGGCGAAGGCGAGGCTAGTTTGTCGAGGAGATCGAGACCCAGATCTTTTGACACTGAGGCGCGACGCGCCAACCTTGACGCGCATGGGCCTCATGGTCGTACTTCAAATAGCGGCTTCGATGAGGACGTGGTTCATCTTCAACTCAGACATCACCGGAGCTTTTCTTCAGGGTGACCAAAGTATGGCGAGCCGCAGCGAGCCACTCTTTCTGAGACAGCCTCGTGAGGGCCTGCCGGGCCTAGTAGCCGGTCAACTGTTGCTGGTGGTGCGCGGCATCTTCGGCTTGGCGAACTCGCCACGGCTTTTCTGGCGACACCTACGGGACACACTGAAGAAGCTCGGCTTTGTGCAGTCGGTGCTGGATAGAGCTTTGTTCATGTACTACTTAATGGGCAAGCTGGTGCTGGTGCTAGGGGCGCACGTCGACGACCTGATCGGCACTGGTGACCCCGAGAAGGCGGACCCGATCTTGCAGAAGGTTCGCGAAGCCTTTGACTTCGGCGCTTGGGCCGACTCGAGGGAAGACGAGGTGCTGGAGTACGGTGGGAAACAAGTGACCAAGGACTCCAACGGCGTCGTCACCCTCTCGCAGGAGAAGTTCACCAAGGCGATCACCATCGAGCCCGTGCCGAAGTGGAGAGCTATGACCCCAGCATCGCCGCTAGGAGCTCGCGAAGTCACTGAGCTCAAGAGCGGCGGAGGATGCTTGCACTGGCTGATCGGGCAAACCAGACCGGACCTTGCAGCGGCTACTTCTTTGAATATGTCTGGGCAGCCCATGGTCAGCAACCTCGTCGAGATCAACAAGCTGCTGCGTGAGGCCCAGAAAACCCAGGACTGGAGCCTTAAATTTGTCCCTGTGCCGCTGCAGAACGCGAAGATCATCGCCTACAGCGACGCCTCGTGGGCCAACGCGGAGGGTTTGAAGTCGCAGGCCGGCTTCCTCACCTTCATAGCCGGGCCCGATGTGCTGACCGTGCACGGCGACCAGGCCTCCTTGATGGACTGGCGGTCGCACCGAATTCAGCGACAATGCCGCTCCACGCTCGCCGCCGAGACTATGGCGATGGACACGGCGTTCGACAGTGGCATCTTCCTGAGGGAGCTCCTGTCTGAGGTGCTCGTGATGAGCTACATGCCGATTCAGAGTGGCATTTTGCCACCCGATTTCCTTCCGGTTCACCCAGTGACGGACTGCAGGTCATTGTACGATCTGTTGACTAAGGACGGACCTGTCAGTAGCACTCAGGAAAAACGCCTGACGATAGACGTCGGCGCCATCAAGCAGAGCGCTGAGGAGTTCGACCCCGAAGGGGAAGCTTTGAAGCAGGTCTTCAAATGGGCAGATACAGATCACCAGTTAGCCGATCATCTTACTAAGGCCAAACCTCCCCACATACTGCGTGACATCCTGTCGCAAAACTGGTTGATTCTGCAAGCCCTTGATCCATCCTAAACCGGATGAAGATCAACAAAGAGGTTGTTCAGTGCAATCTTTCTTCCTTTTGCAGTGACCAGAC